CTTTAGTTGCGTCCAAAAGTAAATATTCATTTCCATTTGATGAGATATAACTTAATTGTAATATATATGTACGTTGTCATAACCATTTAGTTTTCTTTTTTAAAGATACTTCATAGTTCAAACATTGGAAGCCTATATACACTTCTTCACGACAATGAACTGGACTTTGGAACACCAGACACAGAGGTTGTTGGTGCAATGCTGTATGCATCCAAGCGGAATATCACGTGGCTTTTGATGGAAGACCCAGCGTCGTGTGACTTTAGTAAAGGATGTGTTGTTGAAAAAGTAACAAACACTGGCTTTGTATCATTTGAGAGGACAGTTGTTAAGTTCAATACATTTTACTACATATGTGCTTACTCTGTTTCGACATCAGTAATAAGAGAGTTGAATACAGAAGTGTTAGATGAAATAAATACGTGTAGCAACGGTTTTATTCTTGATAGTATTGCCCCAGTAGCTGGAAAAGTGGAAATCCAAAACAATAATGGGTTCCTTGCCAGTCTTGATGACATTGAATTCTCCTGGAATAAATTTGAAGATAACATAGATGCGACACAATTTGGATATCTTAGCAATATAGCAACATACACCTATGGAGTAGGTAAGAAATTGTTGATATATACTAATGAATAGTTGCACTTAACAGAATTAATTACTTGAGTACTATAGTTTATCCTCGAAAATTAACTAAAATACTGATGTGACGTAAGGAATGAACTAAAAATCTTATTTCTAAGAGTGACAGTATCAGATTATGAAATAATTGCCAGACAAGTTTTTGTGATTGTCGTTTATAACTAAACATACGAAGTAATTTTTACTCAATGATTTACCACAAAAATGTATGATACGTTTTAGGAAGTCGTCCTCTCAAAGACGATATTATACGGTTCACAAATGTGGGTAACAAAACATGATATGTTATCAACAGTCTGGATTTGCATGATGGTGCATCTGTTTTTGTAACCATTAAAGGTTTGTAAAATAAAATACAGTATTCAATAATATACTAAGATGTAAAGTATATCATACTTATAACGTTAAAACGTAATTAATTTTTTGTGTGACCGTTTAAATAATGGTTTTAGAGCATTTTAGATGCCTGTTACCTGAACGTAGGTCTTATTATGAAGTCAGTCTTCTTAAAAACAACAAAATATAAACAAATGGTATTTTGACTTCCATACCAAATACTAATACTCAATCACGAATAATGTACTAAATCCACAAACGCAACAGTAGAAACAGTAGTAGCCAATGAGAAAAATTAAAAATTACTGAGAAATAAAGATACATGTGCTGTCCTAGGATGATAACTTGAGCCTTTGTTTACATAACAAAGACCAATAACAATGCGAAAAATAGGTTAGGCAGATCAATGCCACAGCCTATAAAAATTAAATTAAAACTACAAGTTATCATATGTCTTGTTAGCCCAGTAGGTAGAGCATCTGTGTCAGTAACATATTACCCGTACAGGGAGAAGTTCGACTACTGGTAAGATACTTCTTTTTCACCTTAGAAAACAGTCAATTGTTCAGAAAACAAGTTTGACCGTTTTTTTCATACATACATAAATATGAGATCGAATATCTTATTTAAACACTGCGATCAAATAAATACAAAAAGAAAATAGAAAAGAAATAAAAAATAAATATATACATGTACTATAAAGTATATATTATAAGAAGAAAACAAAATGGAAAACGAAAAATAAATAAATAATAATGATAAAAAACAGAGCAATAAGAAAAAACTGTGGTTATAAAATGGCACTACGTGGGGTTCGAACCTATGAGTGCAAAACACCAAAAGTGCCAATAACTTCGATCTACCGGCAGAGCCGTAAAGGTCATACACCAACGATACTGTAAGAATAATGCTATATAGTATGTAAGTGTTTACTTTTACGATATCGTATAATAATCCAGATAACCCCGTTTTTGGACTTTTCCGTGTACCGTTAAGACCAAATTATCATCTTAGGACAGTAAAAGCATTTTGAGGCAAAATGAAAAGATGGTGAGTTTTATGTTTATAAAGCTCAGAATTTACCTCTCTAAATGTGATGACATGTCAAATACCGGTATGTAAATATGTTTCGTGTTAATGTCATGTAGCTTGGGCTGGTGATCTGAACCGTTTTAACAAACACACTGAAAATCAAACTGAATATATTAATAAAATATTTCAGTTCTTTTAAAAGTTCTGAGAAACTTACATAAAAAGTAATGATATAAAACTACATTCAATTTAATTTCGATTTTGTAAATACAATGCAATTTAAATGAACATTTTAAATGTGTAAATGGGAAGAAAATTCAAAGGTAACGAAATTATATCTTTCTTTGTTTGAGATAAGAACAACCTTTGATCATCATCAATAACTATTGAATGAATACAATTGATGTTGAAAACCTACATTTTTACAGCAACTGACTATGCCGGAAATACAGCGTCAGCTTCTTCCAATGAAGTTATTATCGACACATCCCCTCCTTTGAATGGTGAGCTGCAAATTTCAACAAGTGAACACGTGCAAGAAACTTACCTTTATCTAACGGATAAAATGATATCAGTTCATTTATCTGGTTTTAAAGATGAAGAAAGTGGCATCGATCATTTTGAAATAGGTATTGGAACTCAGCCTTTCTTTACGGATATCTTATCATCAACTGTTATGCGCGAAGAAAATTTTGTCATAAAAATGTGTCATGTGGTCGATATTCGTGTTTTTGAATATCGTTTTTATGTATCATTTTGTCCTTGTATTTGTATATATATCTCTTGTATTTGTCTGTTTACAGTCCGATATACAATCCATTATCCCATATCATTCCTATATCATTCCATTTCATCATCTCATTATAACAACTAATTTCTCATATTTCATTTGACATAATTTGCATGCCGGGCCTCAGTTTTTACAAACTTCCCGGAAAATCCACCTCACGCATGCGCACTTTGATATAAATATTTCTCTTGGTTTGCGCCAGAAATTGTTGTCTTATTTATTTATTTATTTATCAAGGCGTATGTTTATGTCCTTACAGGTAATTGTTGTTATTCATTATGTTTCATTATCATGCATATTTCCATTGATCGTTTATGTATTTCGGATCTGTATTTATGCACTTTGATATAAATATTTCTCTTGGTTTGCGCCAGAAATTGTTGTCTTATTTATTTATTTATTTATCAAGGCGTATGTTTATGTCCTTACAGGCATAAACAGACCATTCATACATTTGAAAAAGGACCATACGACATTGGTGGCCAGTGTGGATTTTTATGTTTGGATTGGTATTTTCATGGTACGAATTTATTTGGGACGAAACAACGAACACAGACGGTGACGTAGGGATTTCCCAACTATAGCCAATCAGAACATCTTTTATATTTCTTATTTACTTCCGGTGACCGGGTACTCCCGAGGAATTCCATCAAAACAAACAAAAGTTCAACTAGTTATTTTTCTATTTATATTTTAAAGAGCTCTAACATTTAATTAATTAAAGGTACCTATTCTTATTTATATATCAACGTTGGATTATTCACCTCTTCGGACCATTTAGACGACAACAATATATTTGTGGACTTTGAACATTTGTAAACAAACAGTGTAGTTCTTTAAATTCAGTGTTTACATATTTTGATAAGTGTCTTATTCAATTTAATTAGTATCAAGTGCCATTTCATAGTTATATTGTAAAATGTAGATCTGGGTTGATTTTTTCATTTATCTATATCCAGTGGTGTAAAATCTTGATCAAGATCTACATGTGAAAATCAATTTGTTTTGAACCATAGATATACATGTATATTATTATTTGATTTTGTATATTTTAGGTTGAATTCCACAAAGTCTTGTACTTCAGGCTTCTGTGATATTGATTTTTATCCTGTTGCTGGCTTTTTGAAGATTGACACAGACATGTAGACACAGCATTTAACTATCAGGTGGTTGGTGAGCTAACACTCTGTCTCTTTTATCTTTCATCTTGGTCTGAATAACTAGTATATAACACCTGTCCCTATTTGAAGTTAATTCCACCCAGTCTGGTATTGTCCATTTACTGTAATAAATCCTATATTACCCCAGATATTATATATCCAACAGCTGAATTATTTCATATCCTATCCTGATAACTTATTGTACCTGATTACTTACTGTACCTATCTTTATTATTATTATTTATTAAAAGCAGGACTTGCTTGAACCAGAATTTTGCCTGAAGTAAGCATGTAGATTGAATAGTTTAGCATTTATTGTAGGAACAGATTATTGTAGTTGACTTGTGAGTAAATATAAATAAAGTATACAAGTAGGTTTGAAATATTTATTCTTTAGTTAGAATAAATTGTTCAACCCGGGCAGTTAAAATCAATTATATTTAAAATTCTGTAAACTTAAAACAGCAATTCATTCAAATTACTGCGACGGTATCATGTAGCCGGTAAATAGATTTGAAGTGAAATATTTATTCTTTAATTAGAATAAATTGTTCATTTTTAAATCCCGCTGATTTATATTTTTATACACAGTTTGTGAGAACCGACACTCAACTTCTTCTTCATTTTCGAATAGTGAAGTATTTTGTGTAAGTGGTAATATATTTTCTTATATAGAATTATTCTATATTTACAAGAATTTAACATATATACAAATAGCAAATCAATTGTTGCTACTGTATCACAGTTGAAAAGTTGATAATTTGGGTTCTACTCATTTAGTCATTATAAAAAGTCTGTTGATAGGTATATTATTTTACTTTATGAACTGAAAATTAAACATTTTGCATTGAAATAATTGTCTAAATCAGAAGAAAGGAAACTTTACACATTTATTTATCCTGGTAAGCTTTGTGTGTACTTGTATTAAGTTGAGTCTGTGCCTGAGCAAGGAAATTTATAGATAATCTATATACATGTAAGTTAGGTCTTTGGGATTTTTTTTCTGATATTGTATAGAGTACTGGACTGAACATTGTTGCAATACAGAATTCCTGCATATAATTTTACAAGCCTGTGTGTCTCTTGCAATTACCATAAATTAGTTGAAATTTATACACTATAGCAAGTAACTGAACAAGTGTCTGTGCATTTCACAATATAATTTTATAGACTTGTTACCTGTAACTTGACAATCTTAGGTGTCTGTAATAAGTTATTTATTTAGTAAGTTAAGCACTGAATATTATTCAGTTGAATTTAATACTGCTTTATAATAGAGACTGAATATCAGTGTTATTAGATCTATTGTTTTACAAACTTTGATCTAATTTACTAACTGTATCTGGTACATATATTATTCAGGTGACCTTGAAATTGTGTGTAATGTATGGTGCACTGTGTGGGCCATAATTTGAATAAAGTTGATTGATTATTTTCAAGTCTTTGTGTTTTTTTCTTTTGAAATAAAATTGTTTTATTTCTATTGTTTGTTTTTTATTACATCTATATAGACCTAAGCTGGTTACTGATGTAAATCTTTTTTTTTTTAGTGTATGGTGTACAATTTGGGCCATTTGAAATCCTGAATTTTAAGTCACGTTCATTTTTTTTTGGTCCAATCCATTTTTTTTTTGTTTTCTCATCATGGCGGATGGTACAACTCAGTCCTTAGACTATTCAGATGCAGATCTGGAATTTTTTGCTAGACAGTTACAAAAATCTGGTAAGTTTGAAGTTAATGCAATGGCAAGTACACCTCATACAGTACACTCAAGTCATACATTTAATGTTACACCTACTCCTATACGGGAACATATCAGCAGTTCGGGTACACATCAGGTTCACTTTCCTCCACCTGTTTATAGCATTCCTCCACCCATGCCTAACCCTCAACCATACTTGTCTTTTGTGACAAATAGGGACTTGGTACATGCCCGTATCCCTGAGTTACCTTCTTTTTCAGGAGATGGGAAATACAACTCGTCAATGTTCGAGATATGGCGCTATGATGTCAATTGTGTCATTGATGAGGGTAATTATCCACCATTTATCATCAGGGAGGCCATTCGTAAATCTTTGAAAGGCAGTGCCAGAGGTGTTCTTTTGCATTTAGGTGAAAATGCCACTGTTCCTGAGATCTTGAATGAGTTAGATGGCATTTATGGTAATGTTCATTCAACTGAAAGGTTGAAGGAACAGTTTTACAATGAACAGCAGAAGGTGGATGAGTCTGTTGCTGACTATAGTTTGCGTCTGGAGAGGTTGCTTAGCAGGATACCATGCAATCTTGATAGGATGTCCAAGGATGAAATGCTGCGGGGTAGGTTGTGGTCAGGCCTTCGTGATATAGAGCTTAAGAATGCCTCTAGATTTCTTTTTCAGAAGGACCTCAACTTCAATACTCTTCGCAAAGAGTTGAGAGCCATTGAGGAAGACTTACGCTTGTCTCGGTTAGCCACTTCTCTCCCTCTTCCACCCAAGCAGGCAACCCAGGCCAATGTTTCTTTACCTAATACTCCTAATGAGTCTGTTCCTGCACAGCAGTGTGCCACTACTGTAGATAGTAGACTTCTCCAGGAAATAAGGGCCCTTTCTAAGCAGATGGAAGGCATGGAGTCCAGGCTGTCTAGTATGGAGAAGGAACTCAAGGGCTTGAAACAAGAGAGATCTTCCACTCAGGATGTCAAAGCCTCTGCCAGTCCTTTAAACTACAGTCGACCTCCATCGCAGGGCAGATGAGAGGTCATACTTCCCCTTCTAATGACCCTGCTTCTACATTTCCTCTAGTTGGCTCTTCTAATGAATCTGAAATTCTTATAAATGGTACTTCTACTATAGCTTTGATAGATACTGGTTCTATGATTTCATCTATTGGAATTTCGTTCTTCAAATCTTTAAAGCCTCAGCCTGTCATGTCACAGTTGTCAGATTTTATGTTGGATATTTCTTCTGCTAATGGTTCTAAGGTACCATATCTTGGATATTCAGTTCTTGATATTTCTTTTCCTTCTGTTTCATCACAATCTTTTTCAGCTCCTATTCTGATTGTTCCAGACACAGAGTACTCCTGCAGAGTTCCATTGATAATAGGCACCAACATACTGAATGTTTTGAAGTCATCAGGAACAGAGGCAACATCATCTCCACTTGCAGACATCATATCTTCCTTGTCTGACATTGTCACCAAACCTGTTACTCTTCTTCACCATCAGACTGTCATTGTGAAGCCTTTTGAAACAACAACACTTGAGGGCAAGGTGAGACATATTGGCAACATGTCATCTGGTGTTACAGAGTCTACTGATTCTGTTATGTTGAATGTGTGCCCTAGATTGGTTAAATTACAACCTGGTACTTCTTTTTGCAGGGTTCCAGTACGTGTTTGTAACTTGACTGCTAGAGTTATTACCATTCATCCAAGAATGACTCTTTGTAACTTACATGATGTGTCTGTTGTTCGCACCATTGATCCTTCAGAGGGCGTTGCTGATAAATCCCACAATTCAGACAAGTCTCTTGATGACCTTGGTATTTCTATTCCCACTGAAACTTTAACTTCTGAACAGCAGGTTAAGGCAACTTCCTTCTTCAATCAGTGGAAACATATTTTCTCCTCTGGGCCTACTGATCTTGGTTCTACTGACTTGGTCGAACATGAAATCAATCTGTCTGATCCCACACCTTTTAAAGACCCTTATCGCCGAATACCACCAGGGATGTTTGAGGAGGTACGTGAGCATTTACGAGACATGATTTCCGCAGGAGCGATCCGTGAGTCCAAGAGTCCTTTTTCTTCTAATGTTGTGTTAGTAAGAAAGAAGGACGGGTCTTTGCGTTTTTGTATCGATTACCGGAAACTGAACAACCGTACAATCAAGGATGCTTATGCCCTTCCTCGCATCGACGAAACTATAGATTCTCTCATAGGTTCCACTATTTTCTCTAAACTCGACCTACGCTCAGGTTACTGGCAGGTCCCAGTCAAAGAATCTGATAAGCAAAAGACTGCCTTTAGTGTTGGGCCTCTCGGATTCTATGAGTGCAACAGAATGGCTTTTGGTCTTACCAATGCCCCTGCAACGTTTCAGCGTCTGATGGAGCGTTGTATGGGCGAACTTCACCTTCGTGACTGTTTGATTTATCTCGATGACATTATCATTTTTTCTGATTCTATTGATTCTCATTTCCGTCGTCTTCAGTCTGTCTTTCAACGTCTTGAGATGCACAATCTTAAACTTAAAGGGTCCAAGTGTGAATTCTTTAAGCCGCAAATCCAGTATTTGGGTCACATTGTTAGTGCTCATGGTGTGAAGACAGATCCTGAGAAGATTGAAGCACTCAAGACATATCCTGTACCTACTTGCCTTAAGGAGTTGCGTAGCTTTTTAGGTTTCTCAGGTTATTACAGGAGGTTCATTAAAGACTACGCACAGATCGCCAAACCTTTGAATGACCTTCTTATTGGTATTCCACCTGCAAAAGTTCTTCTAAGAAATCTAAAGTTCCTTTCTATTGGGGTCCAGATCAGCAGAATGCCTTTTGTGCTTTGATAGATAAACTTTCTTCTCCTCCAGTCTTAGCTTTTGCTGACTACAATAAGCCATTCATTCTTAATGTTGATGCCAGTACTAGCGGTTTGGGAGCGGTTCTTTACCAGGTTGGTGCTGATGGTAAGGAGCATGTTATTTCCTATGCCAGTAGGGGTTTGAGAGCAGGAGAAAGACATTATCCTGCTCACAAACTAGAGTTCTTGGCTCTTAAGTGGTCTGTCTGTGATAAGTTCCATGATTATCTCTATGGTAATTCTGTGGAAGTTAGAACAGACAATAACCCACTTACCTATGTGTTTTCATCTGCCAAGCTTGATGCTACCAGTCACAGGTGGTTATCCTCCTTGTCTGCGTATGACATCAACTTGCGGTACAGAGCTGGTAAAGAGAACATCGACGCCGATACCCTTTCTAGAATTCCTTCAGCTTCTTCTCTTCCTGATTCTAACATTCTCCTTTCAGATGCTGTCAAGGCTCTTTTGTTTTCTCAATCTGAAGGTCCAGGTCAACTTCCAGCTGTTGAATGTATTTCTTTTAACCAAACTGTTCTTTCTCTTAATCCCAGAGACGAGATTGAAGTCGGAAGCAGCCTTAAGTCTATTGAATGGAAGAAGGAGCAGCAAGATGATCCAACACTTTCCCGTTTAGTTCAACTCTTTGAAATTGGTCATAGGTTAACTGAACGCCAAAAGTCACATGAAACGGCCAAGGTTCGATCGTTTCTGAAGGAATGGAGCAACCTTTACTTTAAGGATTCAATTCTTTATCGTAAAGGTACTTCAAATGGTTATCCTGTTACTCAGCTTGTTCTCCCTGAGCATATGCTTGATTTAGCTTTCCAGGGTTTGCATGATGAGGCAGGACATCAAGGTTGTACAAGAACGATTTCCTTGTTCCGTTCACGTTTCTTTTGGCCTCAGTTAGAGCAGTATATCGAACACAGGGTTCGAAACTGCCCCAGATGTATCCGGAGAAAGTCATTGGATAAAACGACTGCTAAGTTAAATCCTATTCAGTCGAGTTATCCAATGGAAATTGTCTGTATGGATTTTCTTTCTCTGGAGATGTCTCGGGGTGGTTATGAAAACATCTTGATCATTACTGATCACTTCACTCGTTTTTGCTCAGGCTATCCCTGCCAAGAACCAAACTGCACATACTACCGCTAAACTTCTCTTTGAAAATTTTGTTTGTCACTATGGTTTTCCTAGTCGGTTCCATAGTGATCAAGGACGAAATTTTGAAAGCGAAGTTATCCGGGAGTTGTGCAAGTTGGCCAATATTGACAAGACCAGGACTACTCCGTATCATCCACAGGGAAATGGGATGCCTGAGCGCTTTAACGAAACCCTCTTGAATATGTTGGGGACCCTGGAAGATGACAAGAAGGTCAATTGGAAGTCTCATGTTCCCGCTCTTGTCCATGCCTATAACTCTACTCCCCATTCTTCTACTGGTTATTCTCCCCACTTTCTCATGTTTGGTCGCCACCCAAGGCTTGCCATAGATGCGTTTCTTGGCATCGAACCAGACAAATCTCCTGTCAAGGACCATTCTTATGTCTCCGGTCTCCAGAACAGACTCAAATTTGCATATTCTGTTGCACTCCGAGAGGCCAAGAAACAAGGCAAGAAACATAAACGGTACTATGACCTCCGTGTGAGAGAAGCGGAATTGAAGCCCGGGGATCGAGTACTGGTCCGAAATGTAGGTGTTCGGGGAAAATCCAAACTTGCCGATAGATGGGAGAAAGATGTCTATACCATTCTCAGCCAACCCACCTCTGGAATTCCCATCTATGAGGTGAAGAAGGAAAACAGCAAGGACAGGTCCAGGGTTTTGCACAGGAACCTTTTACTTCCCTTTATGGGGATGCCTTTGTGCAAAACAACTGAGTCCTTATACAAGCCCGCTTCCTCTGACTTACATTCGGATCAGAACTCGTTCTCCAATCCCTCCTCTGATATTTCCATTACAGCTCCATTAGATTCCAATACCTCACTTACATCAAGTTCATCAAATATTTCACAAAGCAATTCTGCCACAATACATGATTCTAACAATTGTATGTCAACTTCTTTTACAGGAACATCAAACAGCAAACAAGATGTCACGTCAACAACTCAAACTTCTTATTCTGTTCCAAATAAAACATCTCATTCTATTACAGGTTCTAAATATGTTATTCCTGCACTGAGAAATCCATCTAAGGAGAACAACAACAATTTACAGAGGCAGAAGCGTACTAGAAAGAAACCCGGATGGATGCTAAATGACAACTGGAAATTAGATTAATGCTTTTCTTTATAGTATAGGTGTGTCTCAACTTTGAAGTTAGGCGTTGTTCAGTACCTGATGTGTTTCGTTTTATGTTTTATACCATGTACCATATATTTTACCTTGATAATTTATAAATGTACTTTACAGTACTTTAAAAATAAAGGATTTATTGTTGAGAGTGCACCTCTTCAATGAATTCACAGTTCTACTGATAAATTAAAATTTTGTTTCCGCGTGACATATATTTTTCGCGATTCGCGGCATACGGTATTTTTGTGGAACTTGCTTGAGTTTATGGTATTTTTGCCCGGGTATTATATATTTACTCACAGGTTGTAATTGCCTTCAGTATTTAGATTTAGTTATGTAGTACCTAGTAGTTTAGTTACTTTATGGTCTAAGCTTACTTTTTGCAATGTTGATTCAGGCTCTTCCTCTTTAATATTTTATGAATGTCGGGGCGACATTCCCCAAAGTGGGGAAGTATGTCATGTGGTCGATATTCGTGTTTTTGAATATCGTTTTTATGTATCATTTTGTCCTTGTATTTGTATATATATCTCTTGTATTTGTCTGTTTACAGTCCGATATACAATCCATTATCCCATATCATTCCTATATCATTCCATTTCATCATCTCATTATAACAACTAATTTCTCATATTTCATTTGACATAATTTGCATGCCGGGCCTCAGTTTTTACAAACTTCCCGGAAAATCCACCTCACGCATGCGCACTTTGATATAAATATTTCTCTTGGTTTGCGCCAGAAATTGTTGTCTTATTTATTTATTTATTTATCAAGGCGTATGTTTATGTCCTTACAGGTAATTGTACAGGTACAGGTAATTGTTGTTATTCATTATGTTTCATTATCATGCATATTTCCATTGATCGTTTATGTATTTCGGATCTGTATTTATGCACTTTGATATAAATATTTCTCTTGGTTTGCGCCAGAAATTGTTGTCTTATTTATTTATTTATTAATTTAGTAATTTACCAGTTAAAATTCAGTTTCTATTCTCCTTAGGCTATCAATCGAGCTGGATTATCCTCTGAGTTTACATATTTGCGAACTATAGCCGACACAACACCTCCAAATGGTGGCCATGTTTTAGAAGGCCCAATCGGAAGTCAGGTAAATTATTACACTGAAAAAAATCATGCATAGTTTCTTAATTTCTACTCCACGTTTAAGTCTTTAATTTTATCACATTTATTAGAATTAATTAATTTTATTCTTAAAGATGCAGTGAATTTCATTTGATGACACATTGAAATGTATTGTTTCATTATCACAGATAGACGAAGATTATCAATATGATATAACGGAAATAAATGTACATTGGAATGGTTTTAGCGATCCACATAGTGGAATAGCCTTTTATAGAGTAGCTCTTGGGACAAAGCCATTTTCGGAAAACATTAAGCCGTTTGTGAATGTCGGACTTCTGGAATGTAAGATATTATAAAATCATGTTCAAACTGTAATAAAATGACATACTTGAGAGATGAACACATGACATATTATAAACATATTATAAACATTGTGTTAATATTAATGTGAAAATTATAAACTCCAAACATAAACGTATGTATCAATCACCACTTTGTCGGTATAATAGTTCAATAATATTTTTATTTCAATTGATAAAGATACTACGTGGCATGGAGAATTTTCTATTGGTGAAAAATATTTTACAACAGTAGAGGCATGTAACGACGCAGGGCTCTGTATTGCCCGAGCATCTGATGGTATTACTCTTGACATTTCACCACCAACACCAGGTTCTGTACAGATTGGTTCAGACGTGCTTCACCAGAAATATCAGTCACATACGTAAGTAATACAAAGAATCATTGATAAAATACGTGCATCAGTTACTATTGGTATCATGTACATTTTAGTTTTGTTTTACAGCTAGTAAAGTTTTTATGAATGTTAAATATGCATAAATTATATATTTTTGCAGGTCATCAGTACACGTTACATGGGCGGGATTTGAAGACCCAGAATCTAGCATTGGTCACTATGAAATGTGCATTGGAACGAGTCCAGAAAATTGTGATATTTTAGAACGCACCAATTGTTTATTGCGGTCTAATATTATCAAAACAGGGCTTAGTCTACCACTTCACACTCCTGTATTCGCAACTGTTACTGCTTTTAATAAGCTTTCGTTAAATGTAACAAAATCATCCGATAGCTTCTTTGTCGATGAAACACCCCCTCTTGTTTTGACAAGACCATTTTTTATTGTAGAGGAAAATAATAACCCCTGGAAAATAGGTCAATGGGATAGGTCTGTTCTACATATACAGTGGGAATTTATTGATGAAGAAAGCCCGATTGTTCGTCATTATGTTTCTCTTGCCACGCACCACGAGGGTCACACTCCCGTAGAAAATATACAACTCGGAGCCGAAAACAACTTTAAAATAAGTTTGGATGGTAGATCATGGCTTCATAATGGTGATACGTATTTTGTGACCGTAACAGGCTGTAACATGGCTGGTCTTTGTATTTCTGAAAGTACCAATGACCTTATTGTAGATTCGACAGCCCCGCATCTTGGTGGTTTCAAACTACCAATGTATTGGGAAAATTTTAATGGTTCCGTGACTGCATGGAAGTCAAATATTACACTTTCATGGTACGGTTTTCATGATCAGGAGTCTGAAATTGAAAGATATTTTATCACAATAAGTAAAACATACAGCGGAAACGAGATAACAAATGGTGTGACAACCGTCAATGTTAATGTGTCAGATAGTAAAACTGAGCATTCATATACATTTCTTACAACTGACCATTTAGAAAGAGATGATAAGTTGTATTTAACAATATGGGCAGAAAACTCTGTAGGGCTTAAAAGTTCATTGGCACGAGCTTCAGTATTTGTATTATCAAGTTCTTCCACAGCTGATGTTACAAACCAAAGGGGTACCCTCGAACTTGAAAAACACTCCTGTGATATACATTACTGTAATAAGGATTGCACGTGTGCAATTATTGGCAAACCATGTGTAGAGGTACAATCAAACTCGACTTGCGAAGAAATAGGTAATCCGTTGGAAGATGAGGATGTTCCTGCAATTCAAGTCTTTAACGGACTAAATGAGAAATCCACTAATATCACAGCTTCCTCTGCTTGTCTCTCCGGAAGTTGGAAAGTTATTGATGGCAAAAGAAATACCACGAGCATATTAAGATTTGAATGGAGTATGGGTTTACAGTACCATCATTTTGGGGAAGGAATATTTGATTTGAAGAACGAAATTCCATGGAATGACGTAGGATTGCAGTCACAAGTTGTGCACTGCCTACCTGTAAATAGATCTCTGATAGCACGCGAAAAATATGTAATTTATGTAAGAGCTTGGCTTACCAGTGACAATTATGCCACGTTTCATTCGGCTCCAATACTTGTTGATCATTCACCTCCATCTTTGGTACGAGGCCGTACAGTTCTTGATTCTAATGAGTTATGCAATGTGGATTTTGATATAATAGATTGGATGGATACAATAACAGTATGTTGGCATGGCGTCTTCTCAGAACAGCAGGGAACTATTGTAAATTATTTCCTAGCAATGGGGACGTATCCCTCTGGTATGATCTTCTTTACTTTTGTTTATTCATCAAAACTTAAAAAAAAATAACACATAAATAGTAGTTTATTTCGTGAAATTTTTAGATTAGATAATATTGTTTTAAATAAGTGGTATTTAATTTTATAATGAAAAGAATTTGTTTTGAATTTTCGGCATACTTTACATTGCCATATTGTTGTATGACTTTAGGTGACGATACGATTCAACGACAAGATGTGGGCTTAAACTCAAGTTTCACATTCAGCAATCTGTCAGTGACACATGGAACGAAGTATTTCTTCACAATCACATCATATAACAACGTAGATTTGCATTCACTTGCTGTATCTGATGGTTTCATTGTCGATATAGACGACCCGATCAGTGGTGTTGTTTACAACACTCCTAGTCATAGAAACGCACCATACCAGTCCTCAACTTCAACCATTGGCTTATCTTGGCATGGCTTTCAAGATAAGGTTTCCGGATTGCGAAATTATTATGTAGCAGTTAGCGATACACCGACTATTAAAGCAGATATAAACTTTACAAACACGGGACTTAGTACGAGACACGTTTTCAGAAATTTAGAGCTAAAACATGGGCACAAGTATTATGGTTTCGTAAAATCTTTAGATAATGTCGGACATCAAAGTATAGTTGCGGTATCAAATGGAATAAAGATTGATAATACTCCCCCAACAGCATACATTTGTCAGACATATGTCGCTTTCAAACATGTATCAGAAGTGGTAGACGCCATTGATAATAAAAGTGAACTTAACTTTCAATGCTTCCTTGAGCACATTATATAAAGTAGTTGGCTATCTATCGTTAGATAAAAGCGATGAAGCAAAACTTGTGTTTCATTTAGATCAGTTTCACACGTTTCTTCCACTTATGAAATATCATAATCAAACACTACTCTTCGAGCATACCTTCTTGTCTCATAAAACTGCTTCTCAAACCATTTTCGTCGAATACCTAAATTCAAATAAAGAATATCTTGCTTTGAACATGACATTATATGAATGCATCAAGGCTTTTGAAAGCATTAAGGAAGCAATTAAACTCACACAGATTTCTAGGTCACTGGCTGCAGTAGTGTTGCTTGTAACAGATAACGAGAGCCCTATAAGTGAGGTATGTGCAATGTTTTGTTTTATTATAACTAGATTCAAATACGAGAATTTACATAATTATGAATATCGATAAAAATTCCCTATCAAGAAATATAAAATATTTTTTTAATTTATTTTGATGCTTTAATCATTTTAGATAGGATTTTTAAGTGGATTTGTATTGAATGTACTGCATTTCTGATCTTGCATGAAAATAGTTATAACAGTAGGGCAATTTGCTGAGTGCACATTTTACTATTTATCATTGGATTATTTGACATAGATTCAAATAGGAGCAGGAACCACACCCGGAGGATTTCAGGTTAAATCTCTTTCGCGAGTGCATCATTTTAATCATAAGCATCTAATACGAGCCAGCGTTCAACACAGAACCAATGTCTATGTCACAGCCATTGTTGAGAATAAGGCAGGACAAAGGACAGTATTCAAGTCAAAGCCTCTTACCATTGACCACACAAATCCTGTTGTTAAACATCTGTCTGGGAACCTGCGATATGTAGAAGAAAATGTATCGGGTATTGTTGAAACTAAAACAATTGTACATGCGTCATGGATGTAGTTGATGACGAAAGTGGAATTAGCATCTGCTATTGCTCAATAGGTAGTAATAGTACATACATTTAATATACATTTTTAAATGTTTCTTTTTAAAAACTATTTTGTGAAGTCAATGTTCTTTTTTGTACTACATGATAGTATATTTTCCTTAAAGAATGTTTGACTTTAGCATTTTTTCAATACAGACAATTGTCTAATGTGTTTTAATGTAGATCTACATTTTACTCTCTACAGAATCGAGTGGCATTTTTGTGCCCCCACGTTAGTGGCGGTCATTTAGATTTACCCTTGTCCGTCCGTCCGTCTGTCCGTGCGTGCGTCCGTCCGTTCACTTTTGTGTCGCACGTAACTCAAAAAGGATTTGACCTAGAGTCATGAAACTTTACAGGAATGTTGATCAGCATGTGTAGTTGTGCACCTGGGTATTTTCGTCTGGATATTTTTAGTATTTTCAGAGTTATTGCCCTTGACTTAGTAAAATTTTGCAATTTTCAACTTGTGTCGCATGTAACTCAAAAAGTATTTGACCTAGAGTCATGAAACGTTACAGGAATGTTGATCAGCATATGTAGTTGTGCACCTGGGTATTTTCGTGTGGATATTTTTAGTATTTTCAGAATTATTGCCCTTGACTTAGTAAAATTTTGCAATTTTTAACATGCGTCGCACCTAACTCAAAAAGTATTTGACCTAGAGTCATGTAACTTTATAGGAATATTGATCAGCATGTGCAGTTGTGAACCAGGTATTTTCGTCTGGATTTCTTTATTATTGTTAGAGTTATTGCCCTTCACTTAGAATTTTTTTTGCAATTTCAACTTGTGTCGCAAGTTACTCAAAAAGGATTTGACATAGTCATTAAACCTTATGGGCAGGTTGCTCAGCATATTTAGATTTGCACCTGGAGTTTCGCTTGTGGATTTATCAAGTATTTGTAGAGTTATTTCCCTTGACTTAGTAAAACGATTGACAGAACAGTGGCGTGGTGGGGGCACCCGTGTCCTACGGACACATTTCTAGTTTCTGATAAATTTATATTTCAGGCCATATGCCAGGTTTACAGAATATTGATTCAAACTGGATTGCACAAACAGAAACATCATGTGAATTGGATGAACATATTTTTTCACATGGTCAAAAAGTATTCCTAAATTTGAAGTGTTTTAATAATGCTTGGCTATCGACTGAAGATGTGTTTGGGCCACTGGTTGTTTCACTACAGCCATCCGACACATTAAGTGCAAAATTGGCGTTTATACCACTGAGTGAGGAAGATAATAGACATTTTACTAGTCCAGTATTAAATTTGCCGGTGCAGTCAAATCACTCGTGCCTTCAGTTTAAATGGAATGGATTTACAGACCTGTCTGGTATTGTGCATTATGAATACCGAGTGTACCAAGATGAACATGCTATCATTAAGGAATGGGAGAAAACTATTAAAGACATGGTTAAACTAGAAAATATTGATTTGATAAATGGGGAAGTCATTGCAGAAGTCAGAGCTATTAACAAGGGGTCATATATCAGCGACTCTGTAAATGCTTCACTTTTTGTTGCCAAGTATCCTCCAAAATTATCAGGTAACTGAAAGAATCATTACGCTTCTATTAGTTTGTAAGGCTATCATTTTAAAAATCAAATTTTTACGAAAATATAACTTACTATAATTGAAAAAATACTTTGACTGTTACATTTATAACATCATCATTTTATTGTAATTGTTATTGCAATTTCTACTTCCTTAAATTCTTTAGTTTTGTAGTTCAAACTCTAATATATAAATGTTTATCAAATGATCAATTTAAGGGTAATATTTATTGGGTATTTGCCTGTATTTTTCAGGAATTTCAGCTAAATTTTCGAGAAATGGAGCTGAGAAACTACATTTAAGTTGGGCTGACGTATTTAATATTGAACCTAGTATTCAGTTTTCATTTAGTCTTACAATAGGTACGAGAAAAGGATATACAGATGTCCTCGACAAACACTATATCAGTGATGATAACATTTATGTGCCAATACCTAGATCTACGATCATTACACCTATAGTGAAGGAAGTCTTTGTATCGATCGACTGTATCTATGAGACTGGACTACGAGCTACATATGCTACTATTTACAAGCTTGCTTGACCTTTAAAGGCACATTATGCTTTAGAAACGATTTCTTTTTTCTAGTTTTGGAATAGCAACCCATTTTTAATAATGTTTTAGAGCATCTAAGACGCTTATCACTTGTGAATGTGTAAATATATGCCATAAAAGTAGTGAAATGAACGCAAGATAGTATTTTGACTTCCATACAATATACTACATCTCTATAATAAGTGTACTAATTGCCATATAGACACATCGGACGCAAACCATGATTCAGGTCCTAGTTATTGTCAAATATGTAGATATAGAAAAGAATGACAGCACACAAAATTTTAAAAACTGAAAATAAAAAGTAAAAAGGACATCGGCATACAGATCAATTCATGTTCTGTTTAGGATTTCCCCTTTTGTAAAATAGCTCTAGAGGCGTGTTTTAAATTACTTTGATATAGGTTTAAGTTTGTAATATTATATCTGTTTATTTATCATATTCAAACTTGTAACTACTCGGAGTTTTTATACTAATGTGTTCTTATTTTATTTTTAAAGGTTTATTATCATTAGGAGATAATTCAGAATATTTTGAAATCATTTTTGACACACTGAGCCTTGAATTGTATTCTGTGTTCTTTAAATGCTTTATTTAAACTGATAGTATGCTCATTTTTGTTTCATATGCTCATTTTTGTTTCACTATTAAGCTAAGATAAATTCGTTGTGTATAACAAAAGACTGACTTGATTTGATTCAATATGATTGCATAACATAGTATGTATACGTAAAAAAGCAAGAACAAGTCGATATGAGATATGTATGTTTAGTTTAGATATTTCTATTTTGTTACCATGTATTTAAAATTTATTAAATACTGATTACAGAGAGTTTTCAAAAAAAAAAAAAAAAAAAAAAAAAGAAAAGAAAAAGATTTACAAGCTTCCTACTGAATCCGTAAATTTTATTTTATGTACGTTATTATGTTAATGTATGCATTATAAATAAAAATTGTTTAAATTAACAGTTATTATGATATTTTTAATTTTATTATTTTTTATTATTATTACTCATTATAAGTATAATTATTTCATATTAGTAGCTAGAGTACTAATACGTGTTCTTACTGCACATTATGCTTTACTTTGCTATTCACAGGAAAACATTAACATAAATCTTTGACTTCTTTTTCAATCTTGTATTATACCATGTTGTACATATCGGAACTGTATGAAATAATTTCTGTATACTGAATACTTCCTAAAATATAATAAAATACTGTCCAACACTTTTTGTAAATTGAACATTATCGATAATTTCCGAAGAAATTTATGAGGGTCAACAGGGTTTTTGACTACACGGGTCACGTATATTATGAAACTAAAAACAAATATCACCACATGTTAAGTATATTCTATTTTATCTGAACACTCGCCCACTTTTTGATAGGCGTAATGTCACTTTAATTGATTAACATGTCACATATAACGACTTTTTAAAACATATATATATTTACAAATGCAGGAAACCTATCTTTAAAAGTATCATCGATATCATAACTGCATTTAAATCTTTACAATTGAATAGCGTTAAGACTCTTAATTTAGACGTCATATTTCGTTAATGTTTAGCTTGTGTATACATGTATATTGCATTCATTATAACAAAATAAACATCTTTTATAGAAATTTTTGTGTTGTTAATTTATATATGCTTCAATTAGTTTTTGCCACACCAATCTTCACAAGTATTTCGGATGCACTTGGTGCTTGTATTACAGATAGACAAATATAGATTTTAAACACATAACAATAAATAGTTTCATACGAAATTCCTAAGATTGTGCCTTATCTTAGATGTATATTTTTATGCATAACAAATGATAATGTAATGTTTTGGCTGGCGATTTCTTACTTGACCATTACTGTACCATTTTCAATAGAGCATTTATAAGGGGGGAAACACAGTAATCAAGGCTTCGCGGCAAACAAATGACGACTGTGTCACAATCAAGACCTAACAAAACATTCTGTAATCACAAAATGAAATAAATGCATTTCAAAATTAACATATCTATATTTATTTCGCAGCAAACAATTAATAATACTTTTAATATTTAAAAGATCAAATATCCACTTCAATTTCAAAACTCTCAGTTATTTGTAGATTTGACCCTGACCAATTTGAAACTACAGCACTGAAACTGTGTACTGCCTCCAAAAAGGTACCATAAGCTCTAAAATGAGAAAATACGCACTTAAATATTCCAATAGGACTACTTGTACATTATACAGTATACATCCATGTTTACTTGTCGATAAAAAGGACAGGGAAAACCGTATGATTCAATGTTACATAATGTGATTATATAAAATTGGAATGTATTTAAGTACATGAAGTATTAAAACTAATTTATAAACTAATTATATTTTGTTTTCTTAAGATAATGAAGTAACACATAAGTCTCTATGATACTTGGATATTGAATTTATAAAAACTGTATGTTAGTCCTGTGATAAGCACAAAATTTCAATGAATGAAAAGGGGGCTAATCCTCATTGGAGTCATTTTGCGAAAAAACATTGGTTTGCTACCCTTATCTATAATAAGGGAATTTTTGTGTATCAGGCATTCCATTCTGCTAAAAAGATCACCTTTTCAGCACGACAATTCAATTATATGGTAGGATTAGGGACCATTTCTCATATTGTAAGTCTATGGGAAAACAAATGCGAGAGTGTCTGACCTTAACCATGAACCGACTGGCATGCACGTACTTTAAGTATTGACGTGAGATAATTTGTATAAAAAAAACTTCGTCTCGGTCTATATGAAAAAAGGGATAAAAATAAATTTGTAATGATAATCGTGTTTTATATATAATAATTAAAAGCAAACCAAATTTCTTAATTTCTTTGATTAATTTATTTAAGGTTAATCTTTAAAGGTGATCTTCTGTGACTCATACTGACATTTTGATATTTTGTAGTAGTTATGTTAACTGCTTACCATACTTTTCTTATGTTATGTAAATATGTTATAACCGCCACGGTAATTTGGCGATGAACATGTATTTGTTTTTGCCAATAAAATATTTGACTTGACTTGACTTGTTAAATTAACCCTTAGAAATAAATACATTTGAATTACTAAAACACATTTTGTTTTAAGTTGTTTAAAGCAAAAAGCTCTAAATTAGATTGTTTTTTTTTACTATTTTATTTTTTATGTTTGCTTTTTGTACACATCCCGTCGTCATCCCGAATCGAAGAATATGTTGTTATTCTATGAAATCGTTAGAACATCAAAAATTCATGCAGTGTACGATTGTCTTTAGTACTCAATATATTTCTAAAAGACGTTTTAAGTTGTCCTGCATAGAGAGCATTTTGATGCGGGATGATGTAGTATCCTACCATCGAACGCTAGAAACAAGACAGATAATGCCTGCACGCATAGCTCAATCGGTTAGGGCGCGATACTTTTAATCTCGAGATTGTGGGTTCGATTCCCGGGCTGGCCAACTAAATTACTGATGAGACTTTGAATCGAGGTCCCGTGTATGAGTGTTAAACACTTGGCACTTTAAAAAACCAGAGGAAGCTTCTGGAATTGAGGCATCATCTTGCACTATCTTCAAAATATAAAAATACTAATAGTCTTGTGAAGGAATCGCCCACTATAAGGGCAACCGGGCCGTGTATAAATAAATTCAAATACACACAGATAGATTATACCGTGTCAAGTCAAGTACACGTTCGGACGACCAACTATATTATAAACTTTCTGTATCGATAACCGCAGTTTATTTGTTTTTCTGACTGGAGGGGTACATATAAAGTATAGCATATATATACTTTCAGTGTATACGATATTATACGTGTGCTTCAAAATGACCGTATGCTACAAAGTAATTTCTTTACACTTGCGGAATAAAAAGGTTAAAGCTCTAATAATATTTGTTTTAACTGTAAGTTAAGTTAAACAAAGATGTCTAAATCGCAGACTGTTTCCATCAAGCACCCAACAGAGGATCAAATTTAAAAGGTAAGTATTTCTTTCTTAACCTTATATATATTGTTTGAACGTATACATTATTGTTCACGTTTACGTATAAGTCACAACTTTTAATGTACCTTTCGTATTTTTCCAGATATGATGCCAGAAATTGTTCCACGATTTTACCGCCTATTTTCATCATTGCAAGTATGACGGGAAAAATCGCAATCATGGAAAACATATGTACCATTGGAGTCGACCAATATTTAAAATAGCAGTCATTCAAACTTCACAGTTTATCCATGAATATCGACGTTACAAACGTGCAGTATTATAAATGTGATGTTTTTAAATCGAATTTTCACACATATCTGTTTTAATGTGTTAAAAAAAACATGTGTGTTGTTACATCCTATTAATTTGTATTTATTCGTTATAAGTTTTTGTATAATCTCGACGGCATATCTGACGACCGGAATTATTCTGACCAAAGCATTGTGTGGATATTCTCTTTGATTTAATATTATTGTGTTACTTCGGTGCTCTCTTAAATAACTTACTTATAAAACTTGTCAGTATTAAAACAGCTTTTGGATATTTTGTTTGTTACAAATGAATGAAAGATTCTACAACAAAATGTCCGAGTACAATTCGTGGAACTAACCAGTGCTGGTATCCCACGAAGAAACATGTTATGACTATATATTAAGTAGTCTATATGACTTTATAACTTTATCCCACAATTCTACGATTCATAGGTTGAAATATACACACACCGTACGCGTCACCACTTTACTTTTTACCCAATTGAAATGTTCTTATGATACAAATGTTTATTACTGTCCTATAACTTCTCAAAAAATAAATCTTCAACAAGTACGGCCCCGAAAGTCGAAGACAAGATAAATGGCCAATTTATCGAGTCTTCGCGTCGTTGTGTCATCGCCCCGAAAGTCGAAACAAGATAAATTGGCCAATTACCGTGTTTTCACCTTTCGTATTTTGAGGCGACAAGACAAATATACGTCGTCGATATGAAGATTTCTAGCCGCCGACACGATAATTATGCAGATCTTGTGTCTTCACCTATGAAAATATCGTTATTTCATAGACAATGTATCGTGTCTTCGTATTGCCGCCCT